GCTGGCGCAGACCCCGCGGGGCTGCAGCGGGCGGCACAGGAAGGCGTGAGGCGAAGAACTCCCCCGCAAAAAAAAAAAAAAAAAACAAAAAAAACCCCTTGCATTTAAATAACTAGTATTGCAAGCTTTTGAAATTGGCATAATTAAGGAATACGCATATAGAGGAAACCCCCTTTCCTGTGCTGAGAACCCCAGAGCTGGACGTATAAAGGTTTTGTAGTGGACATTTAAAAAGAATTAAACACATAATATCATGCAAGGAAAGAAGAACAAGCAGATTTGCTAAATTACAGCCTAAGCAGGGCAAGGCAGTGGATTCGGCTCTCTGTACTATTCCCGGGCTCCAGTCCGCATCGCTCCCGGGCAAAAACTCCCATGGCTCCTGTCCCACACCGCCCGTGTCCCGCACGGCTCCGGAGCTCAGACGCGCACCGCTCCGGCTCCGCTTCGTTCTCTACCGAGCGTGGCTCCCGTCCCGCACCGCCTCCGCTGGACGCGGCACGCAGCCGGGCACCGGCGTCCAGGTAGCCTCCTCCCCACCCCTTCTGTTTTGTTTCGCGGCCCCGGGGGTCGCGGCGATCGGGGACCGCAGCGCTGGGACTTGAGGCGTCCCCGCGGTGCGGGCAGTGCGCGGCCGCGGCTCCCCGAGCCTTACCTCGCTCAAGCGCGGCGCGGAGCCCAGACCGGCCCCGCACATCTTGCGTGCCCGCGGAGCAACTCCGGTGGGCGGGCTGGGGGGCTCGTTGGTTTTAATGTTTCTGCAGCAGCTGCTCTCCACCCCGTTTCCGATTCCCTGTCTCCTCGTGCACGCCCAGCCCGGCCCAGCCGGCCCACCGCCGGCGGGACACCCCCGCCCGCCGCCCCGGCCCTGCCCCGGCCCTGCCCCGTCCCGCCCGCCGGGGCGTGAGCAGCCGCGGGCGCTGCCGTGCCCGGCTGGCGCAGACCCCGCGGGGCTGCAGCGGGCGGCACAGGAAGGCGTGAGGCGAAGAACTCCCCCGCGGGACCCCCTCGCCGTGCCGGCCGGGGACGCGGGGAGGGGACGCCGCGGCCGGGCTCCAGCCGTCCCTGACCTGGGAGCCGCCGCCTCCCGCCACCGGGCGCACCCGGCATTCCGGGGAAGGAGGTGCTGGCACGGCCCGGCCGGCTCCGAGCACGGCTCCTGCGCCTCGCGGGGTGCCGGGGGCAGCTTCCCGCCCGCCCGGCTTTCTTGCCCCCCGAGTAGGCACAGAAAGGCTATGGCCAAAGGCAGCTACCTCCGTTCTTCCTCTTAGAGGACAGTGTAAGTCATGTCTAAGGAAACACCTGGAAGAAGCTCTTCCATTTTCTCACTGCAGCCAAGGTGTGTTTTTGCCGTGGCAGGCCCGGTGGCTGTCACCCGCACTCAGGCTGCAGAGTGACTCACCAGCGGCTCCCCCCGGGGGGCAGCAGCCCGACAGGGCGAGGATGGTGCCAGGCTGCGCTCTGCGGGGCAGCAGCCAGAACGGGCCCATGGGGGACAAACTCAGTTCATGCTACTGTCAAACAGCACCAGGTGCTGGTGTTTCCACATGAAAAAAAAAACCAACCAAACAAACAAACAACAAACAAACAAAACCAAAACCCCAAACATCCCCCCCAAAAACTAAAAACCCCCAAAAAGTAACCTCTGCGTGTTCAGAGGATGCTGTAAAACAACTATGTTTCAAAGTATGAAGAAAAGTTTTTAATGCATTTTTTCAGAAACAAAGTGGGCAATGGCAACTACTTAACATTGTTACCACTGTATTATATTTTATATTCTTTTAAAAAGAAAAACCACATTTGGCATATGTGAAATGCCAGCTCTGGTGTATTCTACTGTTGCACTTACTGCAGAAATTTTCCTCTTCCTTCCTTGCTCTGCTCTTGTTAACTCCAAATTGAAATGTAAAAGAATATCACAATAGGCCAAAGCAAAATATATTGGGTCTTTCAGTTTAAAGCATTTTGCCTTTCAATTGGCTGTAGCAGTTGTTATGGGGAAGCAACTTACCCCTGAAAGACAGTACAAGTATTCTACCCTCAGGAAGAGGGTCTCTCTCTTATTTATGCTAATAGTCATGCTTCAGCTGCTCCACACCTCTCCCAGAATGACTCAGATAAATTACACTGGCAAACAGACATTTACTCTTCTACCACAAAGCTAGAAACTTGAAAAGATATTTAGCCTCCTGAGAGCCTGGAGGAAAAGGCAGCCGTTAAGTCACAACTGTCAGAAAAGGCACATGAGATAAATCATGCTTGAGGCTGACATATGTATCCCCTGCAACTGCCCAACATACCCCAGATATTTCAAGCTTTCCCCCTTATTTATCTAATATATAGAAAATACTAAATACAAGTGCATTCATCAGGCATTTTCTTCTAGAAAATAATTCTCACATAATTTTAAGCAAGAGGAACATATTAAAGGAGCATGCTTTAATTAAAGGATAGAATGATTCAGGGTTTCATTAGTCAGATGTGCAGGCTTTCATGTCCAGGCTATTGGTTACCAGCTGACAGGATACCAGCTCAGAGATGTGACATCCAACAAATTAATTGTCAGAGGCTGTGTAAAATCACAGAACCATAGAATGGTTTGGATTGGAATGGACTTTAAAGATCACGCATTTCCTATTCCATTACCATGGGCAGGGGCACCTCCCACTAGGCCAGGATGCTCAAAGCCCCATCCAACCTAGCCTTGAACACTTCCAGTGATGGGCACATTCATCCTTTATTTGGGCAACCTGTTCCAGGGCCTCACCACCCTCACAGCAAAGAAATTCTTATCAATATTGAAACTAAGCCCAGTCTCTTTCAGTTTGAAACCATTCTCTTGTCCTGACACTACATGCTCTTGTAAAAAGTCCCTTTCCAGCTTTCCTGTAGGGCCCCCTATATATACTTAAGCACCACAAGAAAGTAACCCCAGAGCCTTCTCTTCTCCAGACTGAACAAACCCAGCTCTCTCAGCCTTTCCTCATAAGAGGTGCTCCAGCCCTGTGATCATTATTTGCATCTTTCCTCCAGACCTGCTCTGATCATGTCTGGTCCATATCTTTCCTGTGCTGAGAACCCCAGAGCTGGACACAGCACTGCAGGTGGGGTCTGGCCAGAGCGGAGCAGGGGGACAGAATCCCCTCCCTTGACCTGCTGCCCACACTCCTTAAGGTGCAGCCCAGCATACAATTGTCTTTCTGGGCTGCAAGCTCACACTGCAGGGTCATGTCCAGCCTCTTATCCACCAGCACCCCCAAGTACTTCACCTCTGCCTCTCTCAGCCTGTAGTGATACAAGGAGTTGCCCCAACCCAGGTGCAGCACTGGGCAAAATATGCAGGTAATTTCAGTTCCATTCCAAAATGTGGGTACTTGTATCACAAAAAGCATCATTAAACTTAGATGACCACACACATTTACAGCCTTCTTGACATCTTGGCAGTGAGGAAACTGAAATATAGCTTCATTCTTCACAGGCAAATGGAGGCAGATCAGCTGGATTTGCACCGAAGGCTGTCTAAACCCTCAGAGAAGATAGGTTAACATAGTTCAACTGCGCAGGTTCTAACCTGCTTACAAGGGCTGAAAAAAAAAACCACAGGACTCAGGTTGGTTCAGCCAAGTCTCCCAAAACTGTAGTTGCTGGTGTTTAGCAAGGGGGTTTACACCAGGGTTATACTCCAGCCTCACCCTGAGAACAAGCCACCAACAGAATGAGAACTCTTTCTCAGTACCTCTCCAACTGCCTTGTCCATTGATAAGGAAGCTTGCACTTCTACTACAGAAATCCAGTGTATACATGGCTCCTTTGAGAACTTGATTCTGGAATTGCCTATGGTCAGAATAAGGAGAAAGAACAACACAATGTTATTCATGCATTTCAGAAATAACCAGAACGCAGGTCTCCGTCAAATGCCAGCAGGAAGGCTGCACACATCAGGACACCAAACTGACATATAACAGACACCTCACCTGGCTAAACTGGTTAAAAAAAAATGTTCTGCACCGTGTCTACTAGCATAAAGAGACAGACACATTTTTCACAGGGATCCTGATATGCTCTCAGGTAGTTTTCACGATGAGCAGAAACTCATATTCTATGGAATGTCATGAACAACAACAAACTAATACTGACTCTGTGTGACAGCCAAAGTTCTTGTGGAACTTCCAGTGAGAGCTTAGTGTGGTAGGGATTGCAGAAACCTGGCTAGTCACAGAGCAATTTCCTTGCAGGGAAATCCTTTGATCTTGTCAGAAAAGAAGCTCTAAGCTGGGGTCCACCCAATGCCTGCATTTCAAAAGACTGGTGGCCTCTGACACCACCAGACCCAACTCTCCCAGTGCAGCTGGACAACTCACAATTGCATCAGAGGAGTGTCTGAACACTATCCATCTTGAAAAGATAGTGACAATCCCTGCAAGAGAGACTAGCAAAGGATTTTTCTCCAACACGTCATTCTTCTGCACTTTTCCAAAGTTTTTGTCCATATAAGTAAAAACTACTTTTATTCATCCTGATGCAACTTAGGGAAGTCACAAAGGGAGCCATTCCTCTCTGAAGTGCTGGGTCATGACAGATCTGTGAAACAGTACCAGAGTGCAGGTTTGATCACCAAGAAAATATCAAGAATGGCCTGCAGAATCCCCCAAAATTCTCATGACTAGAAGAAATAAAAAAGTTGGATTCATTGTTTTGCTGCAATCCCTGAACAAATATTCCGTATTTTGAATCGTTTGTCAAGATTTACATGCATTGTAGCATCCTCTTATGTGCCTTCAAGTAATTGATACTTTTCAAAATCTGTAAGGAAAAAAATATGCCTAACTAATGTGTTCAAATGGGTTCAAATGACACCTTAAATGAAGTACATGCAGGCAGAAGAAAATAATAAAATTGTGAGACAAATCAACCCATACTGGGAGACTATACCAGAAAGTTCTAAGAGAGCAAAGAAGACACTGAAAGTATTTCTGTATCTGTAAGAAAGTTACAAAGAGTAAATTAAATTATTTTATTAATTTGTTAACATAAGAGTAACTACAAACCATTTATACTGATTCTTGAGTATACTGAGTACCTAAGAAAACAATTCAGATTTATTGTTCAGTTTAAAATTAATTAATGTTTCAGTTACATCACTTTTCCAGTTTAGAATAATCTGGTTTTAAATTATTCTTTCCACAGGGAATAGGTTCGATTAATTAATTTTCTGTTGATATTCACAGTGTTCCAAAATTCCGTATCTTCTTTCCTCAGATTAGAATCAAAAACCTGGTTTGGAGAGAAAAAAAAAAAAAAGTCACGAGAATATTGCAAAGATTAAAGAACACATATTTTTTCAGTATTAGTATTATATAACTTAGATGGTCTGGTTTTAAGTTACTGATATTGATAAATAATATTAATTAAATGGCCTTTGTTGTTTAAAAAGGCAGTTGTAAAAAGTTTACTATACTCATTTTTGTGAGAATCTGCACTTTATTTTTAGTTCACTAAGCTGAATATATTATTAGGAAAAGCTCAAGTCTGAAGGGAAAGAATTGAAGTAGTTGAGAAAGTGACATGCAATAGTTTGCATGGATATCATTGTACCCAAAAGTCTAACACACTTTAATATATGGAGCAATCATTAACAGGATGATAAAACTGCTAATATACTCTTGAACTTCCTACTAGTATTTCAGCTACAGAACGCTTCTCAAAGGGCAGTCAGTGGCTGGCCAGGCCGCTGTCAGGATGACACACACTCCACCTGGGCACAGAGAGCTCTGCTGCAGCCGGTCCCTGCCGGGCTCCTTGGAGCAGCCATCCACAGCTCCGGCCTCACCTACAGCGCCCTGCAGAGGGATACACGGTACAGCGCCGGGACACAGGCCAGGCACTCAACACCTTCTTTCCAGTGTGTACATATCTTACTGGAGGCTGCAAAAAGTTAAAAAACTAGGTACAGAAAAAGTCTCCCAACACAGCAACACAAAAAAATATCATAAGGTTGGCTCACCTGTTATTTTTACCCAATGCCCAATAGGGAGAGGTGAGCTTCAAAGCTTTGGGTGGGGTGTGGCAATGTGGAAAGAGTTAACTGCCTTGGATTCAATCAGTAGCAGCAAGAGCTACACCACCTTTACCCCCATTTTCAAACCAAGGGTTAACCACAGAGGTGTGAATATTATACAGTCGGTTTGGCCCGGTAGATTTGTGAACTTACCAGTATTACACATGCTACTCAGAAAATAATGCCTTGGAAGTCACGTTGGGGGGACAGGTGTGATAGGAACACTTCTGCAGCCTGATTTTAAAAAATTGCTGAATATTCAGTTTAAAATCCCATTTCCATTATTTTCCTATGAAACATTCTTAGGTGCCTTCATCTCCAGTCATATAAGAGATGAAAACCAGAAAACCAGAAAGAAGCAAGAAAAATAGGAGAGGGAGTTACTCAGAGTCAGGCAGGAAGCTACTTGGCTGCACAGAAAATGGCCTCACCCTTTCCACTGACTTTTAGTTTATATTTTTCTTTTCCTTATTTGTTTCAAGAGTTTCCTTCCATTAGGAGTCACAGAGCTCTTGCAAAGGCAGCTGACTGCATTTAGGTAGATAGCACTGATAAATTGCATCTTATTTTAAGTAATGGTTTATCTCAACTGAAAAGGAGTGTCCCAATCAGTCACTGCCATAAATGACATAATGATAGGGAAGAAAAAGTGCCTTCAGTTTTCTGGTGTATTCCCGGATCCTATTGGCAAGGTGATGGGTTACAAAGATTAAATGGATGCATTGATGCATCCTGAAAAGGGTCACTGTAGAAAGGTGAACACATTTTCTCTCTAGGGGAAGTTTGTTTTACAGAAATAAGAACAAGAGGAAGAATTTCAACCCTAGGGAAGAATATGCATATAATTCCAAGAACTCACTTGAGGGATAAATTCTGAGTTTAAAACAAAGCAAAATCTTAAAAAAATGAGCACCTCTAGGCTAACTAACCAAAGAATAAATAAAAAACATGGGTTTTTTATTTAAATAAATAAAAAAATGCTGGGTTTGTATGTCCAGCATTTCATACCCTTTTGGTCTTCTGTGTTCTGTGTCTCTTACCATAAATTACTCCTCCCTGCTATTCCTAAATCTCATTAGTGTTCACTTGTCAATTTCTTATTAGTTGTCTTCTTTGACCAGTGTTGGGAGTACTTTAGAAAGGTTCATTTAGAAGAGGTGATGTGGACTTACTCTTCAGCAGCCTTTGCTTAAGAAGAAAATTATTACTGCCAGAGTAATGCCAATGTAGTTGTACATAGGGGCATAAAATATGAATCCACCAAGTCTGTCTTTCCTTCTACAACCTCACTAAAAGCAAAAGAGGAGTTGCTCAATGATTCTAAATTAATAAACATGATGTAAAACTTGTGAATACCACAGTCAAAGGAAGAGGCTTCAGTGATCTATCCCAAGGCCACAGGAGATAACAGGGTTTCAGTCTCTTGGGCAATTATAGCTTCTAACAGAAAACAATGGCTATTAGTGAGGCATAATGTGCAAAACTGCTCATCACACCTGGGAGAAAGATAGCTTGGGTCAGCTGAGTCCCAGCACTTAAAATCTTGTGTCATCTCAAATTACACCTCACTTAGTACACAGCTAAATTAAACTCCTCTGTAGTTCTAAAGGCACTAATTGGCAGCAATGGAAATTCTAGGAAAGATTACAAAATAATAACGAAAAAACCCCACCAGAGAAAAAAGTCCTGAACCAACAACAATTCATCCTGAATGTAATCAGAAAAGTATCAGATTAAAACGGTAACTTGCCACAGCTACTCCTTAAGAAGAATGCTTTTTTAGTAATACTATTCCTGATAATTCCTTTCATTACTCACTGAACTGCTAGGATACCATGACCTAGCCTGAGAAAATGGTGGCTTGCCCTCTTCACAAATGCAGGTGCAGACACCAAAAACATTGTAAAATCTCTGACAAAAGGAGCACTGAAATATATTACTAACTCACAGCCATTCTCACACATTCTCCTATGGGGGGCATTGGCAAGAAAATCTGGTTTAATTCCAATTAGCTCAGAACAGGGAGGTGATCAGTCAGAATCAAGTGTAAAAACCCAAAAGTGTTCTAACAAGCATAGAGCTCTAGCCATGTAATCCTAAGTAACACTGTCCTGGTAACCCTGGAGCTAGAATTTGCTAGCCTACATAAAGATTTGGTTCCTTTGACACATCATTATGTTTGAAGCAGTATGTTGATGTGATGTCTGTTTCTTTAGAGAGAACTAGAGGTGAAACTCCAACCTGTGTTTTGTAAATTCTTAGAAAGTCATCACTGCCAAAAGCCGTATTTAGGAAATATCAGGCACATGACTCACTTCTAGTCCTTGTTTCACTAATTCAGATACACTGTGAAGGAAGGAGTCCCTCAACAGCACAGTTCAAATTTTTTTTCATACTGCTTCATTGTTCTTTTCAAAAGCAGTATTAGCTGAGAACCGCTGGTAGAAAGGTTTATTTCTGGACAATCTTTCCAACTTTCACTTAATCATTGCCACAGTTTTATGCAAAAGCTAAAAGAAATGCCTAAAAATTACATTAGTTTTATAAATGAGCCTTACTGTCTGGAACTACTGAACCCCTCATCACACAGCAGAGCCAGGTACAGAGCAGTTCTTTTGACACCTACAGTGGCATTCCCAGGTACTGGAGCCCCCCAGACTGCAGGCCATGCTTGAAACTAGAAAATAACCTTGCTCTGGAGAGTGTGTATATTTTTCAGAACACCACACTGTGCAGGTATTAGTGAGCAGCACTTCATAAAATACCTCGCTTTTCATGGAAATTATTCTAAAGGCAAATCTAGACAAATTTTTGTGGACAAGTTTACCAGAAAAAACTAGACAATACTTCTGAGGAGTTGTTATCTAAAAGGTAAATTTGTCTGGATTTTAGCCAAGCTGTATAGAAGCTCTACACTTTGAGGACAAACAATGCAGGCTAGAATATGTGATTGCTGTAAGCCACTTCTTGATAAAAAGCTAAGGAGCTTTGTTTCACAATATGACTAAAGCAGAACGGCACTGGGAAAACTGCCTCAGGAAGTCCACACACAATATAAATCATAATCAGATTTTCCATACCTTTCTAGACACAGGAACTCCTAAAATATCAAGCCAATGCGACTACAAGTTGAACACTAAGCCAATAGATTCTGCAGGCATATTTCTCAAAACAGATCTGTGAGCTACATTTATCCACATTCATCTCTCTATAGAGATACCTATTTTATAAGGAAATCTGACAAACTGTATAGTCTCTTAATGGGATTTCCTGAACAAACCCAAAATGAAATCTAAACTAATTCTCACAAAAAGCTACAAAAAACTCACTGCAATTTCCAATAAGTAATAACAAAGATGTCTTTTTGGCTCATGGAACTTTCTGCTCATCTCTCAGCCCTGGAAATAGTTTATTTGTACCTGGACTTGTCTGGAAAGATTTCTACTTTGGTTTATCTACAGGCTAGTAACTAATATACATAGAACTCTCTGAGTCAATGCCATACTAATGCTATGATATGCATAAAACTTTTTTGGTGATGCTCAGATATTGTGTATTAAAATGAGATTGTATTTTTGATGGAGATTTGCAATATATTCACAACATAAATACTGTTATGATAATGGCATTAATTTTTTTTTTAAATCTAGCCTTTTCTTCTTCATAAATTGTGTCTCTCTAACAAAGTACTTGAAAAATTATTTCATACCCAACACCTATATTGCACACTAACACTTTTATCCTATATTTTTCAGGGAGTATCTCCTCATTTGAATTAAACAGTCTGATCTGTTTAATATATAAAGGGTCCATGGTATAAATAGGAGTCTTTGCATGGACTTCAATGGACTGAGGAACAGCATTTGAGCTGGAAATCTAAAATCTCTTTGAGGGTTGTACAAAAGTGCTACCCTCAAAAATATCTTTTGTCTGTTGCCAATGTTAAGGATTTCAAATCAGTGATCATTATTAGCAGACATCACTATCTTGATTAGATTCTTACTGCAACCTTCTCTGAATTAAAATGACATGGTGTGACTCACTGATCCCCTAGAAAGCAAAGAAAAGCTCAAACCTTGATTCACACAATAAAACTTGGATCCCAGGAAACATGTCTCCCATCATGCATTCCATTCAGAATTTCAACATCATCTTCTGCTATTGTAAAATCAAACACCTGTGGGAATGCATATATAGTTAACATCATGAACACAGAGAGAATCAATAACCTCAGATATATTCTAGTATTTAACTGACCAAGATTCATTTAAACGTGAGGCCCAATTTTTATATATTTTTCCTTCGGAAAATTCTTACATTTTGTCATAGAAAAATACTCCATCAAGCTGACAGGCTCCATGCCATTGGGTCTTTTGCTCTTTAGTGACTCATGTTTATTTGCAGACTATGTTAAGATGGTTTTGTAGCACTCTGGCCTCAGGCAAGGATCCAAGACAGCACTCTCTATTGTCACTGCCAGAGGTAGGTATAGGAATATCCTGACAACCATCTCTTTGGAAGAATGAGATCAGTATTTCACTTACATCCCAATGTTCAGTTTAGAGTGTTACAGTTCTCTTTCTCAGAACTTTAATAGACAAAGAGAAATTTTAGAAAGTATCAGGATATTCACAAAGCTAACAAGCCAAAGGCTGTGTCTGTCTTTTCTATGACTCTGACAAAATTCTCACAAACCAGCTAAATACAGAAAAAGTGCTACAGTGCCTCAGTACTAACTCAAACTTGAAAGCAATCACCTGTCTTCAAACACAGGTTCTTAGAGCCACTGCCTTCTCCTGTGGCCATACCTGCAGTGTGAACGATGGTGTCAGTGCTTTCTTAGCAGGTGTCCTACTGAGACATTATCATCAGGAAGTTGCTTCTGTTCTCTTTGTCAGAGCTCCTCTGTGCTCAATAAAAAGATTCTGTGGAGCCTGAACTGTAGCCAAATGAGCTCCTCCCATCCTGCATTATCCAGCAACCACTGTTTTCTGGAATGATCCTTGTAGTCAAATCTCAGTGCTCTTTCAAGCCTTTTAAGCTTAAACCAGGGACCAGTCCCAGAACTAGAAACCCTGTGTATTATATACTGAGGGTTTAATGAGGACCAACTTGACCAGAAGTGGTAGAGACTCAGGCCAACACAGAAACACAAGGGAAAGAAAAAGAAGGGAGGTGTGATAAACAGTACTCAAGGACTGAGCCAGTTCTTTCCTCTCTCCATCTTAAGTGTTTTAAGTTTGGATTGTAACACATTCCCTGAGTTGTGTGAAACGAATTGGTGGTGCCATAGAGTAAACTCTGTAAAAAATGAAATTAATCTGGATTTCAAGTATTATTGAGAAAAATAAAAGTATAAGGAAGGATTTTCTAACTGGTTTTGTTCTCTGATCTGGTTCCCAATACAGTACCACAAGCAGATGTGCTTGTACCACAGAAGGCAGTGTGAATGTCAGAATAAACAGTTAAGGCAGGAGCTGTATAAACAAGCATTGCCACCAGCAGAAATTCTCATTACAGGTATACTGATTCACACCTCCACACACACACACAGAAGGATAGAAACAGCAGATGGAAGATTCCTGTCTCCTTGCAAAGTTTCTTCCAGATTTGCCACAGCAGTTCATACCCCTATGACATTTTTGGAAATAAGTTGTGCTTTTGCCTACCCTAAAGAAAGAACACTTTCAGATTAGAGAAATAGAGACACAAAACAAGTAATGAATTAAAACTATTTGGCATGAAAAGAAAATTTAAAAAAGGTACGGGGGAGGAATCATACTGCCAAATCTCATTAATTTCCACTTTTCTTTGTCCAGACTCTTCATGCTGGGACGTTTTCTGCACATTGAGTAGAAGGAGAAGGTAGGGGAAGAGTCAGGACAGGCAGGACTGTGATATCCTTGGAAGGTCTTTATGTTGGAGCTATCCCCAAGCAAGTTTTAAAGCTTTCATAAACTGTTATGCATAGCATCCAAACTCCTTCCATTTGACCTACGTGCCCATCACAAAAAGAATGTAACCATAACCAGATTAGGATTCTACAACCAGACAGACAATAACTAGAAATATTAATTACAAAAATCAACTACAAAAGGTCTTCTATGGATTTTGCTTTACACACAGTGATTAGCTCTCCAGGTCTTTTCTGATATTTGTGAGTTATAGTTTTTTTCATACATTGTGGTCATTTCATGGTACCATCATTTGCCAATTTTGACTGAGTTACCCCAGTAAAAAACTGGGAAGGAAAATGGGAAGGAAACCTAAAATATTAAAAACTCTTACTTGGATGTTAGCCAGGCTTGAGTGCACAACCAAATCTTACCTTGCAGTTTTCCTCTATCCGTTCTGCCTTTGTTGACTTTGGAATAGTGACAATCCCATTCTGAAAAGAATTATGCTTCTCATCAATAAAATTTGCAGATTTTAAGAAAATTATCTATTTTCAAGCCATTACAATAAATTCCTCACATCTTCTGAGGTTCTAATTTCATTTTCTGGGGGACACTGACATTTTTCCATGTAATTTGCAACTGCAGTTATATACACTGTGCGGATTTCTCACACACTACATGGCTTATATCAACTTAATACATTATTTCATTGCTTAGTACTTTATATTCAGTGACAGAAGTGGAATTATGAGCAATAATGCTTGTAACATTTACTCTGGAGTAATTTCTTAGTAGTGGTTCTTATTCTCTACAACCAGATTATTTATAATAATTAATATTTTAAATACTGGCATGATTTGTGTACTACATTCTAAATTTCCAGTACAGCCACCAGTTCACACAATATCAACATGCTGAAAGCAAAAATACCTTCTGTATAAATTTTGGTTTGATGCACAAACCCCAAACCATTTGCATTTTTTTTCCTGAGAAAGGAGACACATTTTTATTACCACCCTCCATTACCTGTATGCTCCAGCGTATGCAAATCTGTGCTGGAGTTCTGCCATACTTCTTTGCCAGCTGAATGACAGTGGGATGGGTGAGTGCTTCACCTTTGGCTAAAGGACAGTAGCCTTCAAAAACAATATCTCTGCTCCTACAATAATCAACCAGCTCCTGAGGTCTTTGGAAAGGGTGGTATTCAACCTTAGATCAACAGAAATAAACTTTTAGTAAAAACCCTGAAAATAAATTTAATAGAAAACATCAATGAAAATTAAAATAATTTCCCTCCTGTTTTAAAAATAGAACATGAGTGAGGTCATTGCTTCTGGGCAGTAGATGTAAGGTATTAGTTTTAGAAGATACATGAAGGGTATTAATCACATATTTTACCATTAATTGGCACAAAAGTTAACTGTATTCTATGTTTCCCTCAGAAACAAGGTGCAGTTGTCTGCCTGACTGCAGCTGGACTTTCACTACTGCTCTATTTTTAAGAAATATATACAAATGCACAGTGGAAGCCAGCATCAAGTCATTTTTACTGGTACTTTGAGACTACTTTCTCTTCCTCAAATCTATGTCCTTTCCTGCTTCTTTACTAATTATTCTTTCTAATGATCTTTGAGTTGCCCAGGCAAGGGGAGGGGGCTGAGCAGGGGCTGGATTTGCGAGCGACCAACCAGAACAATTTACTTCGGGTGAGGACATGACCTTGGAAGCAAAGCCTGTTGGCATGGATTGCACATGGCAAATCCTGTATTCTGTGTGGTGTCACCATCAGCTTGTGCAGGGAAGCAATCACACTGTGGAATTGATGTGAGAAGGAGATCCTTTGGAGGAAGGAAGATCACAAATGGCCAAGAACCAGTTAAAAAAGGAAAAGTAACAAGCTACAGAGACACAGTTGTTGGGAGCAAAAGGAAAAAAGTTTTTGGACAGTAATAATCTCAGAGGAGAGACATATTCTGGCACATAGCTAAAACCAGAGAAGAAACTCTGTGATGTTCCTTAATAACTTATTTAAATAAGTATTTCACAGTCTATTCATTGTAAGAAGCATACATTACTCTGCATTTAGATGAAAGTGGGTAGTATTTTCTTTAACAAAATACAAAATCATGTGATGCATTTTTGTGACTGGTCATCAGCATTGTTCCAGGGATTGAACTCTTACGCATTTTGAAGAAAAATACTCTTCTGAGCAATTACCTCAATACATGGAATCTGGAAAATTTCTTCTGCTACTAAGAGGACAAATGAATATTTCCTGTTTCTCATCTTTAGTACATGTTGTCTTTTCAGACAACAATAGTCAGGAACAATAGGCTGGCAGTCATTCAATATGAGCTAAGAAAAAACTGTGCCCCTGGAAGGCTGGGCTGAGTCAGCCTAAAGCTGCTATGATCTAAATTACTAGGTGGACTCGGGAACAAGGTTCAAGCAGCAGACATCCATGTCTTCAACCTTTGATGTTTCTTGACCTTTGAGTACCCTTTGTATTTCATGTTTGTATGTGTAAGAGCAGTGCTTAGGTCATACAGTTATTCACTTGTTTGCACCTGAGTTGGATACGAAATATTCTCATTGTATCTAAGCAAAACTACAAGGGGAGAAGTGAAAGAGCAAGCCAGGTGTATTACTGGATTATTAAAAGAGTAATAAGCAATTTTAGCAGATATTCTTTACAGTAAGTAGAGCAAAAATGTAGCTCAGAAAATATGAAATAAAAAATTATGTATTTAGGACCAAATGCTGAAACGTCTGCAGTACTTCATAGAAATCATGTGACTTATTCAGCATTTATTACTAATTAAACTGCAAGTAGAATTTGCCTGCTGGTCTAGTAAGACTCCAGGCATGTTGAGATATCACCTGCATGCTTCACAAGCAGAATACATAGCAACAACTACTTCCCACCTGAAAATATCATACTTTGTGCCTTTCACTGAATCCAGAGACTCCCAAATTTTGTGAACTGAATTTTTGCCATTTTGACACATGCAGTTTTGTGTCGGTAGAAGCATGTATTTTTCTTCTTAAATATATTACTAAAACAATCAAACACATCAAATAAAATAAGTATTTTTGAATTTATTTTTTTAAATAAAAACATTCTGGAAGGTTCTAGCAGCATCTGCAAGGCACTAGGATCCTGAGCTACAAGAGGCATAAGGTGAGTGGTCAACACATGCTTCCCCTCACAATAACAATTCTTGCTTCCCGTCTTGCCCCACCCTTGCTATTTTTGTCACCAGACATTTTGCAGGCGAGGCCTGTCTGTCACATGATGGCAGAGGAAGATCTTGATCTTTTCTGGCACCCTACCCTGATTGACTGGCATGTAAAAACTGGCATCTGTTTAATAGAACAGTTTGCAGTTCACATTACAGAACTTCACAGCTGCTACATGTCCAGCCACAGGGACCTCCAACTAAAGCACTGGATTTTTACAACAGTCAAAGCAAATGGGGAAGAGCTGAGCCTAATAACAACCCTGACACACAGCCCTAGAAAGTCATACCTCAGATGATGATGCACAGAGGCCTTATTTTTTCCACCCTGCTGTGGTCCTTTTCACGTGATAAAGTTTCTGCACATCTGGAATTCAGTAATTTTCTCAATGGGAATGCTGTCTTATAATTTTTTTCTCTTTATGAAACTGAAATACAAGCCTATAAGTATCTTCTATATAGAAGAACAGTTTAGGTGAGTTTATGTAAAAGGGGTTGTTTTCTAATGTCTCATATGCATTCCACCTTGTACAAATTTACACAATAGAGCTCAATATTAATGGCAGTAACAACAATGCAACCAAGTCTCTCTGAGGTCATTACATAGTAATTCACACTTCTCCAGGACTGGAAAAATATTGATGAACATTCCTACACGGAATTCACAGAGGAACAGCTTATACTTAGGTTCAGTGCATCACTTTAGTACATGAAACGTATATATTTATTAAGTACTTAGAAAATATATTTTTCCTGTAATGAGTGAAAGGGCAATGAGCCTTCAGAGAGACTTCAAAGATTTCTTTGAGCACAAATCCAAACTTCCTACTGCCAAGTCAATTACAAAACTCTGGCACACAAACCTGAACTTCTAGGTTTTAAGTTTCACTCTAGATGATGCTAGAATAAAGTACCATCATTTTACAGCGTTTACCAGTACTTTTAATAGCATACTGAAATTTTAAAAGGTGCTTGCTTATTAATAAATAACTTAGCAATACCATATTCTTGAAAAAACAGGTCTTGCCTGCTTCTTTAAAAGACATGACAATCCTGGATTTTCCCCAGGAATGGACAAGAAAGGCAGTATTTAAAACTTGGTTTGTAAAGCAGAAGTATTGCTTATTTCTTCTGCCTTCCTACTTTCTCCCCTTCACAGAAAAAAAAAAAAAACAACCAACTTTCAATTTTAACATAATAAGGGGACTGTTGTAATTGTAAGAACACCCTGAAGTCTAAAATGGAAGTATTTTTCCTCCACTTGTTTCTTCAATATTTAGACTTTGTATCTAATGACTATTTGCAAATGTTTTATATTTAGTAAGTCCATTGAAACTGTACACTATTTTATGCATAAATATAGTGAAAAAAACCCTGTATTATAAATTGTGGACAGTGACATAAGAACTCAGTACAGCGTTCTCATTTTGAATTTCGAAATTATTTATTTGATGGTACTTAAGTAATCTTACCATCAGACTCAGTAACTCTCCAACATGAAGCAAGAAACAGAATATATACTTTTTTGAGAATAAGCTGAAGTATGGTTTATAAAATTACTTTAACTCTAAAAAAATATAAATTAACGCTATAACAAAACTGCTTTAGGTGAAGCACTTGGCAATGGCATGGGTAATTCATTGTTGGTTTTTGCTTGCAATTCAGAACTGCTGTGTAGCATCTCAAAGAAATTACTAGCAGGGGCCTCTCCCACCCCTCAGTATCACCACCACCTTAACTTTTTGTCTCCTCTTTTTAGCCTCAGAAAAAGAGTTTTGTCAAATAGCCCCAAGAAACAGCTTGTCTCCATGAACACCACTGAAAAAGTAAGACTGGTAACATTTTGACACAGTGGGTAAGAGAAAATTTCAAAACAAAAATCACTATGTTTTCCTTGCAGTGATTTAGTAGAAAACTGAAAAGCTACTGTTATTTAACAGGCAATAACAATTCATGCCAAACTCTAGTAAGTCTTTTTAGATGTGTATTTCTTGAACCTTAGTATTCACCAGTTATTCAACAGTCATCAACCTGCCCACCTTAACATATATTTCAACGGTTTATTTTAAATAACTGGATTTAAATAACTTATATGGGTTTATGCTTATTTAACATTAATTAATTGCCCTGTTGTAACCTTTAGTATAGTGGACAGCCAAAATCAAAGTTGTTTGGTTCTGACGGTCACACTCCGAGCAACACTTTTATGGCTGTTAATGACATTAAAGCATAAACAGCTACCAGAAATCCTGACCACCTGTACAAAGGGGAAAAACATGTGCCTGCACTCCATCCATTCCAGTTCCCACATCCATGTCAGCATACATACACTATCTGGCAGGAGGTGGAAGGAATGGGGGCATGAACTTCCAGCACAGCTGTAGGCAGAAACCTGCAACAAGGGAACATTTGTCGAGTGTCCTGGCAGCCTGCCGGTACGTAGGTGGCCATCCCAGATCTGCCTAGGGCAGCAAAAAAATTCTGCCAGGGCTGTCACAGCACCTGCCTAAACCAGGAGTTGAGTGAATTTATGTGAACTAGGAAATGAGGGGGGAGCAAGGGAAGGGCACCCTTACATGGGTATGTAATTAACTGACTCTTTCAGTGTTGCTTACAGGAAGCACAAAAGTATTCGAAGGCAGGCTTTCCAAAAACTGCTTCACTCTGAAGAAGCGAAATGTTCTGTGATTCTTGAATTTTATTTCTAAACTGTTTTTTCACCAAAAACTGTCACAGGGACCATTTGTTCGTGTCTGTGTACCCAGACATAAAGAAGTAGCCTGGGAGAAACTGTGTGGGGGAAATATGAGGAAGGACTTCCCTACCCTTTGGGTCATCTTCCTGAATGGTTTTCAATACGCAAATACAAGAGAAAAAAGAAATTTTATGACTAAGGCAATAGTTTGGGTGTAGCCTTTCATGGATAGGAGTGGGGAAGAGGTTGCTAACTAAAAAAACCAAAGTAAAAACTCAAACCCAGACACTTTAAATACATGTATCCAATCACCTGATTAACATGCGGAGTAATCACACAGTCCTCCTTTAGTTGCTCAAGATGGCTGATAAGAAAATTGCTTACGCCAATTGATTTACACAAACCTAAAGAAAACAGAACAAGAAAAAGTTTTAGGACAATCCTAACTACTCGGATGGATGATTTGAAAAATATCACTTTTAAGAGACAAAATTATTTTTTTACATCATTTCTATAGAGCAAAATACCACAAAGGAACACAGAAAAATGCACTGAAATCTAGTTTGATAGTGTTATCTGAAAACATGGTTCTGTCACAGTCACATTAGGAAATCATTTTATAATCTAAATACACTGGAAACTCCCCAGTGTATAAAAACTCCAGGCTAAATTCTGGGAAAGGCTAATGTAGTATAAGCAAAGAACAATTGGACTCCACCAGAATGAAAAGAAGGAAATGGTGTTCCAAGCAGCTTGCCAAAACTAAAGGAAAGTGGAACATTTGCTGAAGACTAATAAGGTGTGAGCAATACAACCCAAGGACATGCAGCCCAAATGAACCATGTCACACTGCCTATTTTCTATTAGATCATTACAAGAGGTTACGTAAAACTCTGTGTAAAATCTTCAAGTTAATAAGCAGTGCCTGGCAAGAACCATGAAGGTTAAAAATGTAGCTAGATTTCTCAGCTCCTGTTGACAAGCAAATGAAGTCAAATGGGACCTAGGTGATATGAAGGCTATTTTTTAAACAAACCTCAAGTGCGCATGTGTGTGTGCAAATTAAGAGCTGACAGGCCAGAAATCAGATGTCTTCCTTCAAACCTCAGATATGATAAAAGCCAACTCCCAGTCCTGGCCTGCCACCACCCCTCAGCCCTGACCCATCTGGGATAGTTTGGTCCTTTTGCTTTGCTAAGCACAGGTGGCAAGGAAGGCAGGTGGGGCTAGGCTAGCAGGGGTCTCCTTAGGCTGTGCACTCTGTGGACCATGGCTCAGGCTAATTTCTTCAGTATTTGAACTTTGTCTGCATTGACTTGAGCTACATTTCAGTTTGTAATGCTGCAGATGCAAAGTCTGTCTCTGTGTGTGAACAAAGAAGTCTGATCACTGTTGTTAATCCAGTATTTATTTGAGCAGACCAATTGTATAAAATGCATAGACATGCCTGTATCTATATACAAAAAAAAAGAAATCATATTTTTCTAGTCCTCTGTGAAATTCTGTAAGTGAAGTTACAGCTTACTGCTAAATTGTATAAACAGATTGTTAGAGTTCTAAAAAAAAAAAATCAGCTTTCACATATTTTTGCAGCATAAGCTAAAGCATAAGCTGTAGCAAAAAAAACCTGCACACATTCAATCACTTCTCAATGTGCTTCTTTCGTGGAATACCAAAAGAAGAAAAAATATATTAACAACTAAAATTCCAGATGCCTTTCCCTTGCAGAAAATACCATTGTTCATGATGTATAACATAATTAGGTTAAAAACCAGCATTATAGTGATTTACATAATTTGTATGTAATCTGCCAGAAGGAGCAAAAGCTGAGCTTTTGACAAACAACCCTAGAGTGTCAACACTAATAAATCATTATGCCACAGCAGTCAGAAAAACACAGTTTTAACACAATGGTGAACCAAAATATTATACACTATTGTTGAAAGCTAAGGAGTTACAAAAACATGCCATTATTGCCCTTGAAGAATAAAGCTTTCATTTCAAGTTGAAATAAAACAAAATTAAGGCACAGACATGAAATAGTGCATTTCCACAAAAACCCTCCATTTTTTTCCCCTACAGTGTACTCGAAGATGTTTTGCTTCTAGCATATTTCTCACAGGAGACTTTGAAGTCTGTTCCATCATGTTATATTAACCATCAAGAAATTTCAGGTTATTTATGTTTTGCATTAAAAGTCGTCTGAGTCATTCCTACTAAAATGATTTCTAAAATCAGTATTATAGCATTCATGTGTTCAGAGCGATGTCCCACAGAAAGCTTAATTCAAAACTGCCAAGAAAGTAAACATTCTCCCAGAAAACAGAGAAATAATTAGAATTTCAATGGTTTTATAAAACCAGTATTTTCTTAAGGGAAATTTTTTTTAAGGGAATACACTTAAAATATTTCAGTTTCATTAAATACAGACACTTGCTTGGGTGAATTTAGAACCCTTCATTTAAAATCCACTGGTTTGGTGTTAGTTACAGTTCACTATATGACAGTTAAAGTGTTTTGACTTTTGCATTAAATTGCAATATAAAATACAAATAGTAATTAAACAATTGCTCAGTCTAACTGTATTAAAAAAATCTTATTTCAATGCATGATGGAAACATGAATTCAAAACACTGGAAAATAGAGCTTAAATTTGAACAATCAGTCAATGGATTCTGCTCAAGAGAATTGCTTCCATTTGCCTGATGGAAGATTAACACAGTTGCTCTGCATTGTCCAAATCTCAGAAAGACTTCCTTTAAGAAGAGGATTATACAGAATTATTTCCATATTTACATCTTCTGGATTAATTCAGAAGAATGAAGATTTAACAAAAGACGGATAAGAAACAGAAGGTCTGGTTAGCTCCTGGGCCTTATATGACAGATTGACACTTGTGACTATGTGACTATGTCTATCACACAAGATCCATGGAATTATATCAACAGTAGAAATAAAAAACATGCATATTGAGAAACTTGTGAAAAAATCGTCCTGACTCATTGCCTTGAAACAACCTGGGAGATGCAGGGGACACATTTCCTTATATTTCCTCTCTCATGGGGCACCAACAGAGGTAAGCTCCCCAGAGCTCCTGCCATGGGTCTCCTCAAAAACACCAGAATGCTCTGGAAAATGGGGGCAGGCTTTTTTTTTTTTTTTTTTTGCCTTTTTTCCCCCCCAATTTATTGCCTGTTTTGAATGCTTTAAAAATCTCATTTCAGACAATTCAGGCAAAATACACGTTGCTATAACTGTTGTGATTGCAGGTGGTTTTGAAGTCCATGCTTCTTTTTAACTTAACCATTTTAACTAGTCCTGAAGTTCAGGCTGCCTGAGGTAAAAGTTTGCAATATATTAGCTATAATGTCTCTAGAAAGTACTCTTAAAATATACATTTGTACTGTCTTATTTACAAACCTAGAGAGCTTTGACTCAGGGAGAGAAAGCACCCTCCTTATCTGCTTAAGTAAATGATTGGTCTGGCCCTTATGAAGCACATTTTGAGAAAGTGCCAGGTGCAATAAACAAAGAGTTTGTAATTCCCCATTAGCTCCCAAAGGCTCCTGTTATATCTTCTGAGGCTTTGTTCTATTCCTTGCGACTCTGACTTCACAGGCTCAAAGAAAAATGTAGGAACACTGGTTCCTTTATGCATGCTAAAAACTGACTGACCACAATGCTGGAACAGAAAATTTCATCCAGCTTTGAAAGCCTATCATGAAACTCTGCAAGACACATCAGAAAACATATGGGCAAAATAACAGTTGATTATAATGGGGAAAAAAGTAAGGATCTTTTTTATTCTCCACAAAAAAATCTTGGCCCCCACCACATTGGTAATTTCACCACACTGTATTTCTCCCAGCTACTGTGAAACACTATATCATGTTAATGGACTGGTTTGCAATATAGTTGAGTATTAAGCTTAAAGTATTTTGTATTGCAACTTAGAGAACGAGTGGGTATTTTTATCTTTACTCTGCATAATACCAAATTATACAAAGTTTGATGGGCACTGTTAGTCCTGCAACAGAAAAGCATAAATATACTGTCTTGGCACCACAACCCTGTTTTAGTACAATAGTGAGCCTTATCTTTCTCCAGCACTACCACAGACTTTTATCAAACTTCCAAATACCCTCTGGAATATTAAATGTACAAAGTTCAGATCAAAAAGATTTTGTAAATTATAAAACTGGATACCAGGTTTTTGGAGCCCATTTTCCTCCCCCTCCCTGCTGCTCTACATGAGTCAGAGCAAGGGAGAATTCCCACGTCAAGTGAACAGTGCCCATTCTGTTATATCTTCTATTCAGGCCACAGAATAAAAACACAAATGGATCTACTTTTCACAAGAGGTCAACTGCAGTCACTGTATCTTTATTAACAAGGTTGCACAGGTTGGAAAGGTCCACATTCTCTCTGATACGCACACTGGGTGTAAATTGCACTACTCATAGAAACCCTACAAGATTTCATTTCAGCATAACTTGTTAAATCAAAGCTGTAGGCTTAGTGTGCCCAACATGCAGACTAAAAGCCAAAGCCTTGATAAATAAAACAGACTACTCTTAGACAGAATCAATGAGGAATTAACTTCTAAATCTGTGAAATAACACGTGTTCCCACAGCACAGGCTAAAGCACACAGACACTAGAAGGCTACGTGCCCCTCTCTGAGACACACAGGAAGACTGTGGCAAAACTGCAAATACAGACATTGTACTTTCTCTTCCAAACTTTAATTTCTTTTTAGCCTATTCACTGCCACAGTACAGGTGTTTGTCTGCAATTCTGTGACCATCGCTCCTGCTACACGTGACGTGAACCGTGATAAACTATGAGGACAACAAGAGAACAGGCATGAGCAGAAGTCCAATTGTTAACTTCCTGACTGGAAACTCATTACACGCAGTCAGCTTCCACAACCCTTAAAGGGCTAACCAAACAGCATAATGCAGCATAGTACTGGCTTAATACACACTGTCTCTGACCCTGGTTGCTCATTCTAACTACTTCAATGCAATGTTATTTTAGTTATGTTGACATGTTTTTATCCTTACAGTTGACATTACAAACCAGACCAGATAAAAAAACCCAATCCCCTACATGGGACAAAATCAACCCCACCATACCTTATTCAATAATGCTACCAAACACTGTGACTTGAAAATGTGATCAAAATTATCAGCAACTCACCTATGTAATAGAATAGAATATGTACCCCTAAAAGTAGCACTTTGGAGGTATTACAGACAGCACATAGGTAAGATATATTAGAATATATATACATTCTAAATAGTTTGTTCCCCCTATAAATATGATGGCATGGTTTCCTGAACTGGAATACTTTTTGGACTTCTGTATCAGAGAGGATAATGATTCCCAAGTGGTATGAATAA